TAAACATGTGCCATGGTGGTTTGCTGTATAGATCAACCCATCACCTAGGTATTAAGCCCAGCATCCATTGGCTATTCTTTCTGATGCTCTTCCTCCCCACTCCATGCTCCCAAAAGGCCCCTGGTGTGTGTTGTTCCCCTTCATGTGTTCTCATTGTTTAGCGCCAACTTATAAGTGAGAGCATGTGGTGTTTGGTTTTCTGTTCTGGCATTAGTTTGCTGTGGATAATGGCTTCCAGCTCCATCCATGTCCCTGCAAAGGACATAATCTTGTTCCTTTTTATGGCTGCATAGTATTCCGTGGTGTATGTGTACCACATTTTCTTTATCCAGTCTATCATTGATGAACATTTGGGTTGATTCCATGTCTTTGCCATTATGAATACTGCTGCAATGAACATACGTGTGCATGTATCTTTATAATACATTAATTTCTATTCCTTTAGGTATATGTCCACTAATGGGATTACTGGGTATCAAATACCAAAGGCAGAAAATGGTATTTCTGCCTTTAGGTCTTTGAGGAATCACCACACCATGTAATGGTTGAACAACAACATTCAACAATGGTTGAACTAATTTACACTCCCAACAGTGTAAAAGCATTTCTTTTTCTCCACAACCTTGCCAGCATCTGTTATTTCTGGACTTTTTCATATTCACCATTCTGACTGTCATGAGATTGTATCTCATTGTGGTTTTGAATTGCATTTCTCTAGTGATCAGTAATGTTGAACATTTTTCATATGTTTGTTGGCCACATACATACCTTCTTTTGAGAAGTGTGCGTTCATGTCCTTTGTCCACTTTTTAATGGAGTTGTTTGTTTTTTTCTAGTAAATTTTTTTAAGTTCCTTGTAGACTCTGGATATTAGATCTTTGTCAGATGACTAGATTGCAAAAACTTTCCCCCATCTCCTGTAGGTTGTTCACTCTCATGATAGTTTCTTTTGCTGTGCGGAAGCTCTTTGGTTTAATTATATCTCATATATCAATATTTGCTTTTGTTGCAGTTGCTTCTGCGGTTTTCATTATGAAATCTTTGCTGTGCCTATTTCCTGAATGGTATTATCTAGATTTTCTTCCAGGGTTTTTGCAGTTTTGGATTTTCCATTTAAGTCTGCTATCCATCTTGAGTTGATTTTTGTGTAAGGTGTAAGGAAGAGGTCCAGCTTCAATTTTCTGCGTATGGATAGCCAGTTCTCCCAGCACCACTTATTAAATAGGGAATCCTTTTCCCATTGCTGATTTTTGTCAGGTTTATCGAAGATCAGTTGTACCACTTTTTCTTTCTCCAGTCTACCACTGGTGGACATTTAGGCTGATTCCATATCTTTGCTATTGTGAATAGTGTTACAACAAACATATGTGTGCAAATTTATGATAGAACAATTTATATTTTTTTGGATATATACGCAGTAATAGGATTGCTGGATTGAATGGTATTTATGTTTTTTTAGGTCCTTGAGGAATCTACACACTCTTCCACAGTGGTTGAACTAATTTACTCTCCCACCAACAATATATAAACATTCTTTTTTGTCCAAAACCTCACCAGCATCTTTTACTTTTTTACTTTTTAATGATAGCCATTCTGACTTGTGTGAGATGGTATCTAATTGTGGTTTTGAGTTGGACTTCTCTAATGACCAGTGATGTTGAGATTTTTTTTTATATGCTTGTTGGCTGCATGTATATCTTCTTTTGAAAAGTGTCTGTTTATGTCCTTTGCCCATTTTTAACGGGGTTGTTTTTTCTTGTAAATTTGTTTAAGTTTCTTATAGATGCTGGATAATAGACTTTTGTCAGATGCATGGTTTGCAAAAATTTTCTTCCATTCTGTAGGTTATCTCTTCACTCTGTTGATCATTTTATTTGCTGTGCAGAAGTTCTTTAGTTAACTAGATCTCATTTGTCAATTTTTGCTTTTGTTGCAATTGCTTTTGGCGTCTTTGTCATGAAATCTTTTCCATTCTTATGTCCAGAATGGTATTGCCTATCAAAGAAATCAGAGATGACACAAACAAATGGAAAAACATTCCATGCTCATGGATAAGAAGAATCAATATTAAAATGGTCCTATTGCCCAAAGTAATTCATAGATTCAATGCTATTCTTATTAAACTACCAATGACGTTTACCACAGAACTAGAAAAAAACTATTTTAAAATTCATATGGAACTAAAAAAGAGCCCGAATAGTCAAGGCAATTATAAGCAAAAAGACAAAGCTGGAGGCATCACGATACCCAAATTCAAAATATATTACAGGAATACAATAAATAAAACAGCATGATACTGGTACAAAAACAGACACATGGACCAATGGAACAGATAGAGAACCCAGAAATAAGGCCACACACATCTTTAGTTACTGGACCTTCAACAAACCTGACAAAAATAAGCAAGGGGGAAAGGACTCCCTATTCAATAAATGGTGCTGAGATATCTGGCTAGCCATGTGCAGAAAATTGAAACTGGACCCCTTCCTTATGCCGTATACAAAAATTAACTCAGGATGGATTAAATACTTAAATGTAAACCCCCCAAAACTATAAAAACCCCAAAAGACAACCTAGGCAATACCATTATGTCCTAAGTTTTAATTTTGCAGCTGCCTCCAATGTAGATTTCTTGTTACGTTGTGGCTTTAGAATTCCTGAAAATCTTCTTTAACACACCCATCTTCCTCTTCATCTTATTTTGTTACTTTTCATTTCAATATTTTCTCTTTATATATTCTTTTTCCAATTTTATAAAGGCCAAGTTTTCTTTTACTCTTTCTAGAATGTCAATAAGTTCCCAAAATTTTCTTTTAGATACTTCTGTAATACGTTTTCTAAAACCCTTCTTTGATCCTACAGAAGGCAGTTTATTTTGCTTTACATTAATTTTTCCCCATATCTCATTTTCAGTTTTTGTTTACCTTTTTGCAGTTTTGAATAGATAAAATAGACCCAGACTTTTTCATTTTAATGAGAGTTGTGATTCTTTGCTTAAATCTGCAAGTGGAGGTTGTATTAATGGGCACAGATTCCATTATATTTCTAGTTATTACAAGAATTTAATCTCTTTTCCATTGTTTATTGAATCTTCTTTCTACTTCTTCTTTATGGTACTCTAAACTGATGTCTATATATTACTTAATTCCAGAATATGCCATGACAAGTGCTCCTCTTTTCTGCTTCCCTTTATAGTGCTTAAATTGTAGGCACTGCAATCCTTAGAATTTTATTGCTTCACTGCTAGTTTCCCCTTATCTTCTACTTAAGCATTGTCTGAAATTTGGAGTGTCTTCCAGGTGACACAATCCTCTAGACCTGCCTTCTTCAGAGAGCCCAGCTGTAGCTCATTTCCAACCATATCCAAACCAACAGGGGTGGAGGTCTATGGGTCCAACAGGAAGTATACACTTGTAGCCCACACATTTCCCTGTAAAACATGCAAGGGGTACCTGGACCCTCACTAACAGTTGTTCTCTGCTTCTTTTTTTATGTTTTATAGTAGCTGTCTGAAGAGGTGTCAGATAATGCCTCATTATGGTTTTGATTTGCATTTCCCTTATGATTATTGATGCTGAGCATCTCATCATATACCTGTGGGCCATTCGTATGTCTTCTTTAGGGAAATGTTTGTTCAAGTATTTTGTTATTTTGTACTCAGGGTTTCTTCTGTTGTATCGCATTATTTTTCCTTTTTGCTATTTGAGTTGAAGGAGTTCCTTACATATTTGGGATATTAACTCCTTATCAGATGTATGGTTCACAAGTATTTTCTTCCATTCCATAGATTGCCTTTTACTCTGATTAAAAACTTTTAGTTCGGTGTAGTCCCACTTGTGTGTTTTTGGTTTCTTTTTTTTTTTTTTTTTGGCTGTGGTTTTTGTGACATAGCCAAGAAATCATCACTAAGATCAATGTCATGAGGGTTTCCAGCTGTTTTCTCCTAGGAATTTTGTAGTTTCAGGTCTTACATTGAACCCATTTTGACTTGATTTTTGTGTATGATATAAAGTAAGAGTCCAATTTTATTCTTTTTCCAAATTCCGCTGATTAAAGAGATTATCATTTCCATATTATATATTCTTGGCACCCTTGTCAAAGATCAGTTGACTGTTTATATGTGGATATATGTGGTGTATGCTCAGATTTGCTTCTCAGCTCTCTATTCTGTTCCATCGGTCTATATAGCTGTCTTATACCAGTATCATACTGTTTTATTTACTTTAGTTTTATAATACGTTTTGAAATCAGAAAATGTTATGCCTCTAGCTTTCTTCTTTTCTCAAGACCATTTTGGCAATTTGGGTCTTTTGTGGTTTCATATTAATTTTTGAATTGCTTTTTCTGTTTCTGAAAAAACTGCCATTGGGATTTCGATAAGGATTGCACTGAATCTGTAAATCATGTTGGGTAATATGGATATTTTAACAATGTTGAATTTTGCAGTCAATAAACACAGGACATATTTTTGTTTATTTGTATGTATTTTAATTTTATCCATATTTAATTATCTTTAATGTATTTCAGCTCCTTAGTTAAGTTTATTTCTTAGTATTTTATTTTTATATCATCGTAAATGGGCTTGTTTTCTTAATTGCCTGATTTTTATATGTTGATTTTGTATGATCCAACATTTTTTACTTTGATTTCTAATTTTATGCTTTTTATATTTTGAGTGTGTATGTGAAATCTTTAGGGTTTTATACAGATAAGATCATGCCATATGCAAACAGAGTTAATTTTATTGCTTCCTTTCTGATTTCTAGATTTTTTTGTTTCTTGCTCTGGCTAGGACTTTCAGTACTGTGTTGCAAGAGTAGGCATCCTGGTCTTATTCCTGATCCTAGAGGGAAAGCTTTCAACTTTTCACCATTGTGAAAAATATTAACTGTGTTTTTTTCCGTATGTGACCTGTATCATGTTGAGGTTATTTTCTTCTGTTTTGTTGAGAGTTTTTATTATGAAAAAGTGTTGAAATTTGTGTCTTTCATGCCCACAGACGGAGATGGATGTTGTGAGTGGTGGTGGGCTACACAGACTGTGTGGTGCGAGTTTTCTGCTGGGAGGAGCTAGGTGAGGGTCCTGAACATCTGACCGGGCAGCTGGTGTCCCTCAAGAAATGGATGCTAGAGGGTCAGGTGGACAGCCTGTCAGTGACTTTGGGGCCGCTGGGTGTTCCTGAACTGATGGTGTCTTAGCCAGGCTGTGCTTATGCAATTCTACTGTGTACGTGGAAAAAGGACACAGGGTCCTCTCCTGCCTCTGAAGGGATCATGGATGGCAGTAGGGAGGCCCCAGCTGCCCGAGATGTGGTGCTGCACCAGACATCTGGCCGTATCCACAACAAGAATGTCTCCACTCACGTAATTGGCAACAACTCTCAAGGCCATGGCACTGAGAGTGGTGGCTCTGGCGTCTTTGCCGTGAGCACACTGGATGGGATGCTGAAGCTCATGGAGGAAGCAGACAGGCTGCTGTGGTCAGTGCAGGTGGATCACCAGCTTTTCGCCCTGGAGAAATTGGATGTCACCGGCAACGGGCATGAGGAGGTAGTCACATGTACCTGGGATGGACAGGCATATGTTATTGATCACAACCTCACTGTCATCCGCTTCCAAGTGAATGAAAATATCTGTGCCTTCTGTGCAGGCCTGTACGCCTGCAGGGGGATGCAACAGCTCCTGTCTCATATATGTCACTTTCAACCAGAAGATTTATGTGTACTGGGAGGTGCAGTTGGAGTGGATAGAGTCTACCAATCTTCTGAACAACTGGAGACCAGGCCCGAGTACCACAGCCTGCTGCAGGAGCTGAGCGTGGATCCTGACAACCTCCCTGTGGCTCATGCCCTGCTTCACCAAACTCTCTGCCATCTGACCAACCATCACAGTTGTGTTCCCTCAAGCCTCCAGGATCCCACCTAGCTGTACTTGCCTCATAGCTGATGAAGGATTCTTCTGAACCCCTACCCTACCCCGTCAAGGTATGTGTTATATTGGCAGGATAGGGAATATGCATTACAGAAGTACAGGATTTGACATTGGGCATGAAAGATGGCGCAGCCCTAGGGTGACCACAAGCTATACACCTCACGGTCTTTTTGATGAAAGAAGAGACAAGTTGACCCTCTGCCCATTTTCTTATGGACCTCACCCTTCACACCAGCAAGGTCATAGGACCGTGGCCTTGTTCCAAATCATCTGGGACATGTCCTGCTCTCCACTTGCACTGTGTAGGAAACAGAGACTTGTTTGTGTATCCCCAATACCCATAAGGAAGCCAGGCCTTAGGCCCAGGGGAGCAGTGGAGGTAAGGGCTCCACCCCGTCTTAAGCTCTGTCTTTCATGGCACAGTTCCAAGTTCTTGTTATTAGTAATTGTTAAAGGAACAGCAAATTGTTTTGTTTTTAGGGCTCTTTCAGCACAATCTACAGTCTGGTCTTACTTATGTTCCTAGCAACCCTGAGATGACTTTCCTCCATTTACCAAAGCAGCTGGATCAGTGCTTTCTCATGTTGCCATATTCTTCAGGTATTAGCTTCAGAAGCCCTGTTCCCATTTTTCCACCCACCCATTCCCCCATAAAACACCTTATTATCTGTAAGACAATAGACATGTAAAATGTGATGCCAATTTATGATCCAGACCACAATCAGAATTATATCTTGGGCCATTAAAAAAAGAGAAATTTGTCAAATGCTTTTTCTGCATTTGTTGAAATGATCACGTGTTTTTGCCCTTCATTTTGTAATGTGGCATATCACATTTATTGATGTGCATATGGTAAAACTATTGTTGCATTCAAGAAATAAATCTTTTGTTTTTTTTTTTTTGAGATGGAGTCTCGCTCTATCACCCCAGGCTGGAGTGCAGTGGTGCGATCTTCGGCTCACTACAACCTCTTGCCTCTCAGGTTCAAGCAACTCTCCTGTCTCAGCCCTCCTGAGTAGCTGGGACTACAGGCACCACCACCACCAGCTAATTTTTTACTTTTTTATAGAGGCGGGATTTCACCCACGTTGGCCAGAAATGGTCTTGGTCGTTGACCCTGTGATCCGCCCGCCTCAGCCTCCCAAAGTCTGGGATACAGGCGTGAGCCACAGCGCCCAGCCCTAAGAAATAAATCTACTTGGCCATGGGGGTTGCCTTTAATATGTGTTGAATTTGGTTTGCAGTATTTTGTGGAGGATTTTTTTTTTCCATCTTTGTTAACCAGACATACTAACCTGTGGTTTTCTTTTTTACTATCTTTTTTTTTTTTTTTTGGCCCTGTTTTAGTATCAGGGTAATGTTTGATCTCATAAAATAAGTTTGAAAGTGTTCTATGTTCTTTAATTTTTAGGAAGAATTGAGAAGGATTAATGTTAAGTTTTTAGATGTTTGATAGAATTCAACACTTGAAGTCATCTGGTCCTGGGTTTTGTTTTTATTAGAAAGTTTTTGGCTACTAATTCAATTTATAGGTCTGTTCAGATTTTCTATTTATGTATTATTCAGTCTTGATAGGTTATATGTTTCTCATAATTTATGCATTTCTTCTAGGTTATCCAATTTGTTGGCATATAATTGTTCATAATAGTCACTTATGGTCATTTTTATTTCTGAGACATCTGTTACAATATCTCTACTTTCATTTCTGATTTTATTTGTTGGAATCCCTCTCTTAATCTAGCTAATTATTTGTCAATTTTGCTTATCTTTCAAGAAAGGCAAATCTTATTTTGTTGCTATTTTCTATTATTTTACTGTTCTCTGTTTTATTTATTTCTACTTTAATCTTTATTATTTCTCTCCTCCTACCTTTGGGCTTAGTTTGTTTTTCTAGTTCTTTGAAGTATAAAGTTAAGTAGTTTATTTGAAATCTTTCTTCTTTTTAATATAGATGTTTATTGCTATAAATGTCCTGTTAGTACTGCTTTTGCTGCATCCTATAAGTTTTGGTGTGTTATGTTTTTGTTTTCATTTGCCTCAATATATTTTTTACTTTGACTTTTGATTTATTCTTTGAACCATTGGTTATTCAAGAGTATGTTTTAAATTTCCACATATTCATAGATTTTTCAGTTTCCCATCTGCTATTAATTTCTAGTTTCACTCTATCATGATCAGTAAAGAAACTCAGCATGATTTGACTCTTCATAAATCTGTTAAGACTGGTTTTGTTACCAAACATGATCTATCCTGGAGAAAATTGCATGTGTACTTGGGAAGAATGTGTATTCAATTGCTGTTGTGTGGAATGTTCTGTATATGTATATCAGGCCCATTTAGTCTAACATGTTGTTCAAGTCCACCTGTATCCTTATTGATTTTCTAACTCTTCTACCCATTATCGAAAGTGGAGTACTAAAGTCTCCTATTATTATTGTGTTTCTGTATTTTCCCTTTTATTTATGTCCATATTTGCTTTATATATTTAGGTGCTCTGATGTTTAGTGCATACATATATATGCACATATATTGTATATGCATATATATATATATATGCACACACATAATTGTGATATCTTCCTGGTGACCCTTTTATCATTTTATATTTTCCTCTATCTTGAGACAGTTTATGACTTAAAGTCTATTTTGTTTGATATAAGTATAGCCACCATGCTTTCTTTTGGTTATTATTTGCATAGGATGTGTATGTGTATGTATATGTGTGTGTATATATATACACCTGTGTATGTATAGATATGTGTGCATATATATACATGTGCACACAGACACACACATATTTTTATCTTTTCGATTTTAGCCTATGTGTCTCCTAAAATCTCAAGTGAATCAGTTGAGCACAGCATACAGTTGAATTTTTTTGTCTACCCATTCAGTTACTCTGTGTCTTTTGATTCAAGAGTTCATTCCATTAACATTTCAAGTGAGTATGAGAGAATAACTAACTGTTGCCTTTCTGTTAATAGTTTTCTGTTTTGTGATTCTTTTGTACCTTTTCTTCTCTTGCTGTCTTCCTTTATGTTACATTGAGTTTTTGGTATTGACACGCTTTGATTTCTTTCTCCTTTATGTAGATATTTTTTTTTGTGGTTACCACCGGGCTTACATAAAACAACTTATTATTATAACAATCTGTTTTAAACTGTAAACAACTCAACTTCAATCACATATAAAACTCTATACTTTAACTTCTCTCCTTCATACGTATACTTTGTTATTATTGTTAGAAGTTACCTTTATTCATATTCTTTTAATATATTTTTATTTATTGTGATTTTTAATACTTTTGTCTTTTAACTTTTATACCAGAATTAAAAGTGATTTACCTGCCACCATTATGATATTATAGTATTCTGTATTTTTCTTTATATCCACTTCTTTCACTAAGTTTTATACTTTTACATACTTTCATATTTCTCTTTGACATCCTTTCATGTTAACTGAAAGAGCTCCCTTTCGCATTTCTTTTAAGGTGGATCTACTGATGATGAACTTCCTCAGCTTTTATTTATCTGGGAAAATCTTTATTTCTGCTTCATTTTTGAAAGACAGTTTTTCCAGCTATAATATTCTTGGTTGTCAGGTTATTTTTTTTTTTCTTTATTTTAACATTTAAGTCCCACTTTCTTCTGGCCAGCAATGTTCTGCTGAGAAATCCATGGGAGGTTTATGGTGCTGTTGTAATATGTGACAAGTTGCTTTTCTTTTGCTACTTTCAAAACTTTGTCTTCATTGTTGCCAATTTTAATGTTTTGGTATAGATATCCAAATTTTAACCTGTCTTGGTGTGGATTTTTTTGAATTTATCTTGTTTGTTTCCTGAATTTGGATGTGTTCTTTCTGCATAAAAATTACTTGGGCAATGAATTTCATCATAAGTGCTATTGGTTAACGTTTGCTATATGATAACTTTTCATTAATTATGGTAGACAAACTATAAACTTTTTTTTCTTTAAAAGAGGGAGATATACAGGGAATATAACGATTTCATCCATTTAGTAATGCTTCTTGATAGGTATTGTCAGTGGGCATTGAATAACACAAACTAGAACACTTTTTTTATACATTGATAAAAAAAGAACCCCTGGACTTGGTACTAAAGCAGTCCAAAATTTAGATGTCAGGTAGATAAGATGTACCAATAAAGGAGCTTGCTTGGGGTTGCTACTGATAGTGGGAAAACACAAATGCTGTACCATCACAGAATAGATGGAGGAATTGGTCAACTAAGTGAATTGCTATTGAATAAATTAAAAAATATCATCATTTGGATTGGTAACGTGAAGGTTGTTGATAATTTTGATGAGAAGTCTGAAAGAGCATTGGGGATGGAAGACCAATTGCAATGGCTTAAGAGTGAAAGTTACGTAGAAAAGTAGACAGAGAGTATAGAAAAGTTTATAATGTTTTTCCATGAAGAGAATTGAGAAATGAGTAGGTAACTCCAAAAGAAATGAAGTCAAGTTAGTGTGTGAGTGTAGTTGTGTGCTTGTTAAGACAAAAGTGTACAAACTGATGATAATGATCCAGTAGAGAGAGTGCAATTAAACATTCATTAAAGAGTGGCCGACTTTTCAGAGAGAAGATAAGTCTGCGGAGGGACCCCTAGGGGAAGTTATGTGCTTTAATGACAAGAAGGACTTATCTTCTGTTGAAACTGGGGGAAGGTCAGAGAAGATAGGCACAGATTCAGATTGGTTTATAGATTGGTGTTAGTAACATGGCAAAGCTGTTGTCTAACAGGTTGCTTTTTCTTTCAGTGAATCACGAGATTAGCTTCAGATCCTAGTCTGCAAAATCCAAAGTAGAATTCTCACCATCGGGTTATCTGTAAATTTGATGAGCACATATCCAATTCTTTTCATTCAGAAACTGGTTTTAAGGGCCTACTATGTGCCAAGAACTGTGTCAAGCTCTTCAGATTAAAACTGAATACGACATATTCTTCTCTTTCTGATTGTAAAGTTCCATGGCATAAAAAGTCATTTTGGTGTATATAGTTACCATTTAAAGGGTTTTACTTCCTTCTGGGTACTGGACCTGAAAATAAAGTATATTGTGAGCAGGAAAATGGTGGTGTCCTACTTAAGATCCTTTTGATCACAAATAATCAATAAAACAAGCTGGTTTAAACTAAAAAAGTAGAAATTATTAGACAAATATCTGGGGAACTGATAGAATAGAATGCTCCATTGCAATGAAAAAGTGGAAAACTGTCAGCCACCTATGCCATGTTCTCCTCTATCTCTTGTTTCTGCTTCTATCTTCTTTTTCTCTCATACTTTGTGTGTCTGTATGTACCCATTGTTTATCTCCCACTTACAAGTGAGAATATG